GGCAGCCATTGTTGGGCTGGCCAGACCACAGCCTATAAGCCACTTAAAATGGGCTCTGTACGGGAAGTGCTGTCCTGCTACAGAGGGTTCTGCTGCAGGAATGGTGCCTTTACTAGAAAGGTTCAGTGTTTGTTTCAGCTGTGAAGATGCCTGAAAAAAGGAAAAAGCAGTTGTCTCAGCAGGATTGATTTGACCCCCATTTAATCGGTTCAAAAACTCAGCTTAGCGCCTGTGCATAGATCTCATTAGCCCTTGGCAGTGACTCCAAGGTTGTATGGCAGAGTAGAGAATTCTAAGTTTTAGAAACCAAAGTGATTTTGATTAAATCCTAGTTCTGGAATTTATAAGTTTTCTCATATAAAAAATGGAATAACAATAAATGAGACTGCTGTGTCAGTTAAAGGACACACAGACTCTGCTAGCACAGTAAACACAGACAGTAGCTGTTGTCATAGTAATAGTGATAAAGCATGGCACATACTGATCTTCAGCCTGGTGACGCGCGGCTACCAACTGAGCCATCTTGCTAGCCATGAAGGTTAGGTTTTTGTTTTGCTTTTAATTTTTGTTTGTCCGTGTGCACGCGCACGTGAGTACATGCACCATACATGTGTACCAGTGCCCATGGTAGCCAAGACTGTCAAATATTATTCCTAATAATTTGAAAACTAGCTTTGATTCCATTTCCCTCATTGACATGTAAATCATTGATTCTGCTTTCTGTTAGCTGTTGAGAGGAGTATGCGAGAGCCCAGCCTCTCTACGTGGTAGCCGCCAGGGTGGTGTGTTGAAATGACCACGATAAGCTCATACTTGCATCATAGTTACTCTGTCTCTCACAAGGAAGTATTTTTTGCTTTCCTCACTTAATGGAAGAGAAATCTCAAGTTTGCAGAAGTGGTCTGGCTTTCTGGTTCTGCAGTCTGTCTTTAACTGCTGAAGACTGCTTCTTGCTGCATAGGTTCAGACCTTTTGTTTTGTCTACTCAGATGTGGATTAGTGACTTTTCTCATTGTTGTAACCACTGATAAACAACTTAAGAAAGAGTGTGTTTCAGCTTACAGTTTAAGGGTACAGTCTGCCGTGCAGAGAAAGACATGGCAGCAGGAAGTCCCACTTTGGCAGGGGTGTGCACTCATATCTTGGCAGAACAGGTACCAGAGGACAAGAAACCTTAAAGTCCAATCCCAGTGACCCACTTCTTCCAGCCAGGCCTCACCTCAGTTGAGGTTCATCCCCAGCTGTGGATGAAGTGTCGAGAAACATGAGTTCATGGGAGTGGGGAACATTTTATGTTCAGGTGAAAGCAATCTGCTCCTGGTTTACTGTTGTTTTTACTCTTTGGGGGCCCACCACCCAGCTCACAAATCCATGGAGACTTATTCTTACTTATGAATGCCCAGCCTTAGCTTGACTTGTTTCTAGCCAGCTTTTCTAACTTAAATTATCCCATTTCTCTTTAACTACTACATTTTGCCTCTGGACTTTTTACCTTTTTTCTCTAAATATCCTTCTTTCCTTCTTACTCTTCTTCCTCTCCTCTTGCTCCTCCCTTTCCTGCTCACTCTCACTTTTCTCTAGCCTAGATTTGTCCTCCTATTTATTTTCTCTGCCTGCCAGCCCTGCCTATTCCTCTCTCCTGCCTAGCTATTGACTGTTCAGCTCTTAATTAGACCAGTCAGGTGTTTTAGGCAAGCAAAGTAATACGGCTTCACAGAGTTAAACAAATGCAACATAAAAGAATGCAACATATCTTTACCTCATTAAACAAATATTCCACAGCATAAATGAGTGTAACGCATCTTAAACTAATATTCCACAACAGGTCCCCAGTGCCTTAGGGTCATCTCACAGTACAAATCAGCATTTATTCCAATATCAGAATCTTATAAAGATCAGAATCTTTAACAGCAGCAACACTGTTCAAAGGCTAATGTCTCTTTTGAGACTTAAGGCAATCTCTTAATTCTGACACCCCCCTTCCCATAAAATCAAATACCAAGCAACATATTTCTAATATACAAGGAATAGAGTGAACATTCCCATGACAAAAGAGAGGAATGAGGAATGGGAGTACAGGGAAAGATTAACCAAAACAAGACCGAAGCCTAGCCCTGCAAATGTTAAATCCTGCAGCTCCATGTCTAGCACCTGGCACTCTGGGTGGACTCGGGTCTCTGTTGTGATGTTTGAATCCACCGGGACAAACCAAAGACTAAGGCACAGTTCAAATTTAGATTAAATGAATTTCTTTTACAGATTTATTTATTGTGTATACAGTGTTCTGCCTATATGTCTGCTTACAGGCCAGAAGAGGGCACCAGATCTCGTTACAGATGGTTGTGAGCCAATATATGGTTGCTGGGAATTGATCTCAGGACCTCTGGAAGAGCAACGGCCAGTGTTCTTAACCTCTGACCCGTCTCTCCAGCCCAGATTAAATGAATTTATTCTTCCTGCTAGCAGAAGGACAGCAGCCTGGGAGCCAAACAGCATGCTGTGTTGCAATGGGGTTAAGGTGGGGTTTTAACATTAGAAAGGTGTGCATTACAGCTCTCCATAGAAACTACAGCGGGCAAGAACATTGCTTTACTTCCCTCATTGTTTCTTGCTTTCCCACTATGTAGTAATAAAAAGACCATCCCTTTCCCAGAGTGACCAGCAGGTTTCACAGAAGCAAAGGCAGCTGTCAATGCCTCCCAGCCCTTTATCCTATTCTTATCTCTCCCAGGTGTTCCAGAGCTAAAGGTCACAGGCCCTTAAGGGACGCCTGGATCCATATCAGGTTTCTTTAGTCCTCACAGGGGATCTGTGTAAATTATTACCCAGGTCTAATGGCTGGGATAGAGTCGTTCATTCTGTGTCATCAGTGTAGGGCTGACTGTCATGTCCCCACAGCTCCAAAGGACTTGGGAATTCCCTGCATTTCAGCTCTGGCCTGCAGCACACATAGCTTCCTCTCATGAGCCGCTCCATGCTGTAGATTTTCCTAGGGGATGTTTCACGGTCTTGCATCTTTTGAGGTTTCTACTGAAACTTAGACTTCATCATCACAGCTTCACATCGTGACCTCCAAACCTGCCACACAGTGCTGGTCGCCACAGCTTTCTGTCCCTATAGCATCAGGCACCGTTGTATGCCTGTAACCAGGGCATGGCCTAAATGTTCCCCCATCTTGAGATTTCTGCCACCAAACAAATACATACTTTTATATTCAGGCTCACCGAGTTCGAAATGCAGCCAGATTTTTTGCTAGAATGTAGCTTGAATGATCTAGCTCCATTTCCAGTGGGAAGTGGGCCTTCACTGTCTGCATTTCTCTCTTCAGTCTGGCCTTCCAGACTCCCGCCGGGATGACCCGTCAAGCTCTGCATGCAGCTTTCTAGAGCTGTTCTGCCCTTCTGCCCGTAGCTCAGAACTCTTTCACATTCCTCCTGCAAACCAACCCCCCCCCCACACACACACACCCTTGTTTTCTGTATTAGTTGCTTTTCTCTTTTCTGCAACCAGATACCCTGCAAAAACAGCTTAAGAGTTCACTTTAAGTTCATCGTGGTGGGGAGCTCATGGCAGCAGGGGTTTGGTCACAACTCATCCTTGGCCAGGAACTAAGGGAAGATGCAAGGTGTTTGCTTTTGTTAGCTGTGTCAGTGTGACACAGCCTAGAGTCAGCTGAGGAATCGCCTAGATCAGACTGCCCCGTGGGCTGGCTGTGGCTGTTTTGCTTATTGACTGATCCTGTGGGGCCCATAGGTGCTGGCCATGGGCTGTTTAAGAAAGCTGGCTGAACTTGAGGCAGAGAGCAACAAGCAGTGTTCCTCCATGGTTTCTGGTTCTGGTGTCTGCTTTTGTAGGCCTGGCTTCTCTCTGCGATGAACCGTGACTGGAAGTGTAAGCCAGGTAAATCCTTTCCTCCTCTAAGCTGCGTTTGTCAGTGTTTTAACACAGCAGCGGAAGGGAAACTAGGACCCTACAGCTCAGCTTACTTTCCTTCTTACCCGGTCTGCTACCCTGGCCTGTGGTGGCACTGCACACATTCACGGAGGTTCTTTCCTCTTGAGTTGAACCTCACTGGAACACCCTCATAGACCTGCCCAGAGGTGTATGTCCTTGGTGGTTCTACCCCAATCGAGAAGCCCCCTGTTTCATTCAACAAGCTCTTGCAGCTCAAATCAGCGTTCACTCTGCCTGCAGCCGTGCTCTTCATGCATTTTGGCTGCACCCTCTTGTGCCTGCTGCACCACCTGTGGCCCGGGTACTTGGACTCCTACTTACTTTTAAATACAGCTAAGTCTAGCGCTCTTTAGGGAACCTTTCCTCTGCCTTCCCCCTTTGGGGAAAGACAAAATGATAAAATGAGGCAAATTAAACCAGACCACTGTATAACTAACTGGTGTAAGTACAAAAACTGTTGCTGTCCAATACACCAATGGTAAATAGCTTGTCTTATGACCTGCAGTTGCTGTTTATTCCTTTGAAGGGTCAGACTTATTTTGCATCAGTAGATCTGATATATAAATTAAAAATTAAATATTTTAAAAATAAATGAACAGACCTAGGCATGGTGGCATGTACCTTTAACACCAGCACTTGGGAGACAGAGAGCAGGGGGGTCTCTGTGAGCTTTTTAGGCCAACTTGATGTCTACAGCAAGCCAGCTACATACCAGGGACTGCAGACATGGCTCCGCAGGTAAATGTTGCTGCTCCAGCAGAAGCCCCAATAGGTTTGCAGCACCCACACTGGTACTTACTCCACTGTTAACTCCAACCCCTCCCCTGGCCTGGAGCACCTGTTTACACGTGGCATAGAAACACATACATAAATATGAAGTCTTTAGACATAAACATAGTGCTTCTCCTAAATTATATTCCCCTGTTAGTATTTTCCTCTAAATCTTCAAATTACGATCGTAAAGATTTTTAAAATTTACATAAATATGTATTCCTAGGATGTTGTATCCTTTTAAGTAATGAATTTTCCTCCTTTTCTTTTGTAAGCTCCTTGCCCGACTTGAAGGAAGGAGCTCCTTGAAAGAACTCGAACCCAACCTGTTCGCTGATGAGGAGTCACCAGTGCATGGTAAAACACAGCGCTTAGCGGGAAAGCCTGTGGGAGGAAGTTCTGTGGGGCCAGTTTGCACACGATCTCATGGGCACCTGCATTCCACGTCCACACCTAGTCCTAGAGGAAGGACACCAGCACAGGTGGTAGGTAGCTCCAGGCCTCCTGTCTGTCAAGGATACCATCTTCAGCACACACACTGGCCTCTTTCCCAGCACACGGTATTCATGGGAATTCTGCCTGGCCTAGTTTTCATTCTTTTTCATTAGACATTTGCAGAGTTGCAAGAGTCCTGAGGTTCCCAGTTGTTCTCTTAATGTTTCTCCAGCAGGAAAAAGCAGGAAAGTTTACAGGGAACGTTGAGTACTTGAGCTTAGTTATAGCGTAATGCATAGAATTTGGGTGTCTAATTGGTTGTGAGCCACTTTTTGGGGTGACTTGTGCCGTGATCCTAGCCGTGGTGTGTTCGTACATTCCAGGGTGGGGGTTTGAGGATTAGAAATGTTAGGTAGGGGAACAGAGATATGAAAGAGATATGAAAGACACGGGATAGTGCCAGGAGGGCAACTCAGCAGATCCTGAAAGCGGAATTCCCGAGTTGTAAGTTCTGAGTTTGCCCGTGCTTAATTTCCTCACAGTTTTATACCCCAGTACGAAAGGGGGAAGAAGACAAAAAGACACATGGACACATGGCCCAAAGGACAACCAGAACAGTCGTCTGCTCCGTCATTTACTTGAGACATTAAGCCGTTAGTTATTGAGAAAAGTATCTGATGTTTGGGGCAGTGAACCCAGCCTAGACAAAGTATCCTGCAGGTAGCCACTCCCTAAATCAAACCTCCTATTTCTGGCTGGAGAGATGGCTCAGCGGTTAAGAGGTTAAGAGCACTGGCTGCTCTTCCGGAGGTCCTGAGTTCAATTCCCAGCAACCACATGGTGGCTCACAACCATCTGTAATGAGATCTGGTGTCCCTTTCTGGCCTGCAGGCATGCATGCAGACAGAACACAATATGCATAATAAATAAATATTAAAAAAAAAAAACACTATTTCAAAAGAAGGAGCAGAGTATGCTTGAATTCTCTGGCCTTTGGTTAGGGTGGATCAGATCTACCTATACTTAACGTCCAAAACACCAAGTAAGCACACCCTAGGTCAGGATAGTTTGTTTTGTAGCCACACTTGTTGCGGACAACTTTGAAAGAACAAAAATAAGCTCAAACTCTCTGACCTTCAGACAAGATGGAATGGGCTCACATTTTGAGTCTCCACAATAATCGAGTTGTCTTTAATATAGTCTCACAGTTTTTTTAACTGTCACCCCAGAAAGAAACCCATCTGTACTGGTAGTCAGCCCTGGGTCACCACAGCCAGCTTTCTCTGTGGACTTGCCCTTTCTGGCGGTCTTGTGTAATTAAGGTGGCCCTCCACGTCTGTCTTTGTAGCATGTATCAGTAGCACACTCCCTCCCCCTTTAAGATTTATTTTATGCATATGATTGTTTTGCCAATTTGTATGTCTGTGTGCACGTGGGTGCCTGGTCCCTGCCAAGATCAGAAGAGGGTGTTAGATTCCCTAGAACTTGAGTTACAAATGCCTGTGAACTGTGATGTGGGTGCTGTGAATGGAACCCAGACCCTTTGCAAAAGCAGCAAGTACTCTTAACCACTGAGCGTGACTCCAGTTCAGTAGCCAGTTCTGTAGTGCTGCATAGTCCCACTGTGAGACTACACTATTGCTTGCTTCTGAATTTTTGGAAGCTTTGAACGGTTCTGCCATGATTTTATGGACAAGTTTTTCTGTGGATACATAGGGTTTGGGTTCTTTTAAGTAGCACATAGAGGGGAGATTGTTAGGTTATAAGGCAACGCTGTGTTGCTTCATCTTTGAAAAAAACAGCCAAAGTGATTTCTAAAATAGCTTCATGTTTTACCTGTGACCTTCAGTGAAGCATCTGTTCCTAATCCCCCACGTCCTAGGCCTAATTATCAATATGTCTTTGTGGCTACAGCATCCTGCTCAGTTCAGAGTGACACCCTGCTGTGCTTCTTTGCCCTTCCCTGGGGGCTGGCTATGTTGCTTGCCTCCACCTGAGCTCACTCAAGTTTGCCCGCCCTTTTAGGAGAAATGTCAGATATTTGCTGATTTTAAAACCAAGTTCCCTTTCATTACCGCATTGTAGTGGCCTTTACATGTTTTAGGTAGAAGATGCATATCCAGTAGATGAAGCTGCACTGTGCCTGTCCACCCGTTGTCTGGACTGTGTTGATTTCCTTTGAGGCACGGCATGGTTAACTTTGAGATTTTAATGTCTCTTCTGTTGTTCTTATTTTAGTGTCCTGTACAAGACTCTTAGTCCCTGTTCCAAGGTCAGAAAGATGTACAGCCAGGTGGTCCCAGCATTTGGGAGATTGAAGCAGGAAGTTCAAAGTTTGAAGCTAGTTTATTGTGTGTAGCAAGATCCTGTCTCAAAAAATAAACAAGAAGATCTCTAGTTTGTCATTAGTTTGTTTTCATTCTTTTCTGGTTAGAAATGCATGCTTCCTTGATTCGAGACCTTTTAAATATACTGAGGCTTGTGCTGTGGTCTGACCAGTGGTTTATTACTCCATGTGCACTGTGGTTGTGTGTTCTCCTGTGCCTGGTCCAAGTGCTCTCTAGATGACTCTTGGTTCTGGCTTTTAGTGCTAACTTCTGCTTCCTTGCTGCACTTGTTTGCAGCTGTTCTGTTTCTAGAGTAGCTATTAACATCTGGCTGTTACCTAATTCTCCCTTCAGTTCCATCTATCTGGCTTCCTGGGCTTAGGGCTTTGAGTATTATGCATACAAAAGTTTATTATTGTTTATGTCTTATTGCTGACTGACTCATTCATCATTATAAAATGTGTCCTTTATACCTCATACATTAGGATGATATTATTTAAAACAAATGCAAAAAACTAAGTGTTGGCAAGACTGTGAGGAAACCAAAATTATCATGTATCTCTGCTAAGATGGGAAAATGGTACAATCGATACCGAGGACAGTATAGAGCTTCCACAGAAGTTAGTGGAACGATGATGCCACATCTTCAAAAAGCAAACAAATGTCCATCAGGGGTTGAAAGGGTAATCCCAGACTGACAGGCTGAGGAGGTGTCACCGTAGGTTTGAGGCTAGCCTGGCTACAAAGTGAGACTTTCAAATTTAGACACAAATAAACAAGAAAGCAGTATATGCATACAGTGAAACCCTTTCACACACAATGTGGATGATATGCATGCAGTGAAACCCTGTCACACACAATGTGGATGACACCTAAGAACCAGGACTAGAGATAGCTCAGCAGTCAAGAGTTTGCACTGCTCTTCCAGGGAGCCAGAGTTTGGTTCCCAGCACCCACATCAGGCAGTTCGTAACCCCCTCAGCTAGGGGACTTCTGGCTGACACTTCTGGCTCCCCTAGGCTCTCACCCTCACTACACATTCCTACACATATACATATAATTTGAAAAAAAAAATTAAGACTGATAGACTAGATGAACTAAGACAAACCACATGATTTTTCTTACCTGGGGTATTAAAAGCACTTAAACAGATACAGAGCTGCAGCTTTGCAAGATCCGGAATTCACTAAGTAGCCCAGGCTGACCTTGAACTTGTAGTTGCCCTCAAATGCCTCAACATTCATCACTCAGAGATTACAAATAACCAACACATCTAGTTTATTTCATATATTTTTAGCCTACACATACTTGCATGCACACACTATTCCAAATAATAACTCTTGTTTTAAAAGTTCATTGTGTGTGGTATTACTATAACAATTTCAGCCTGTTTTGTATTTTATACCTTTTCTGTTTCACTAATTCTCCTTTTCTGGTTTTTGTTGTTTTGTTCTAAATAGATTAGTCTAGCATACTATCTTTTTTCTAAGATTTGTTTATTTTATATAATATGTGTACCTATCTTGCCTGCCTATAAGTCTGTGCCCATGGAGGCCAGAAGAAGGTGTTGAATTCCCTGGATCTGGAGTAGTAGGTGGTTGTGAGCCACCATCTGAGTTCTGAGCCCTCTGGAAGAGCATCCAGTGCTCCTAACTGCTGAGCCATCTCTCCAGTTCCTCTACTGTACTATTTTAAATCCCTTGCTACTCTCTTTCATAATTTTAAAACTATTTTCCTAGTCATTAATTAATGTCTTAATTTATAACAGTCTAGTTTGGATTGATGTCAGCTTGTTAGTCACTCCCTGCTGTGGAGGTCTAGTTAGTCTTCACCATCTTTGTGCTCTTTCTTATTATATCTGTGCACATGTGTCCACCAGAGTGTTTCATTTTACTGCGTGAAAGTGATTGGAAATAGTAGTACAGGTTTGAGGGCTCTGTGGTTTTGTCTGTTTGAGTGTGGGCCTAAGATTCACTGTGTAGCTGAAGTTGACCCTCAGGCATGCTGGGATAAAAGTGTCTATCACCACACCCAGCTTAAAGGTGTTTTGCTTTCATTTTTTAATGTGAATATTTCAAAAGGGAATGTTATGTTAGGAATCTCAATGTCCAAATTTGTGCTTGGTGAGTAGAAATGCAAGTGAAGGGATACTAAGTAAGTTTTCTGGAAAGAAAAATAGTTTGAGGACTAAGGCAAGGAAATAATTTGATTTGTGATTTGATTGTCCAGCTGGCCCCAGATGTCATCATGTAAGGGTCACATCCTGCAGGACTCAGCAGCTCCAGTGCGCACAGGCAGAAGGGTGACATAAACATACTCCTCCTCTCCTCTGCCGTCTGCACACTCACGATTCCTGTGCTGCTTTGTGTCTGACTTTGTGCCACTGTCTACTGTCCTTTCCCTCAGCCCAAAGGACTCTGGGATTGCTGGTTCAGCAGATCTCTGTCCCTGTACTCCATAGGAAAGCATGTCATTTCATACTCACAAGTTAGGCCTTAGGAAAGCAACCGTGTGTTAGGGCAAGGCTTTGTAGCATATCTTTGCATCACATGTTATAGAAACACCCTCATGTTTAGTCACTACCAAAACAACGTGTACTTACATTTAATGTGCTGTAAAACTAGACAGGAGCTCAGCTGACACAGCACACACCAAAGACGGGGTTCTAGACGGGGTTCTAGCATCTGTTACGGGAAGTTTATGGTGCAGAAAGATCCTTGGGCTCTGCGCTGTGGAAGCATTTTAATGCATTTGCAGCTGGAGGCTGTTTTCTGCACCGCCCAGTTTCTGAGTCCTCAGAACTAGGAATTATGATCGGCAAATCCAGTGTATTGGCTCCACAGTTAGGCTAGTGATTGCTGTGGCCTTTTTCTTAGGTATTCTGAAGGCTGTAGCTCTGACTCTTGCCTCAGTCTCTTAGCCCTGACTCCTTGCATCTACTCAAGAGGAGCTGTCAGGGCCAAACCATCCAGATTTCCCCAGCTGTTCAAGTGCCAAGCTCCAGGTTTTTGTTTTTTTTTTCTCTGCCTCCTCTTCTTGTTTTCTTCTTTTTGCTTCAAGTTGTACTTGGCTGGATAAGGGCGCTAACTGTGTGTGTGTGTGTGTGTGTGTGTGTGTGTGTGTGTGTGTGTGTGACAGTTTGCGAACATAACAAAGATCATAACTTCAAGGGAAGATACATGGACTGCCCCATTTATAAAGCATACTGTTTGAACATGTTTTACTGATCTTATAAACATGGACGAGTTTTTCCTGTATATACAAATAATACACATACACACACACAACTTAAAGAAGGAAATACTCACTTTGGCTCATGGTTTTAGTGGGTTCTTGGCCCCAGTACTACCATCATGGAAAGACTGTTCTTCACTTTTGGAGGTCAGGAAGTGGCCAGGACAAGAATTCTCCAGAGACACACATCAGTGGCTTGTTTTGTTCAGCTAGCTCCCACCACTTTTTCCCCCTCCCAGTAAACGCCATCATATGAGGTCATCAAGGGATTTGACCCATCGTGATAGCAACTCTCCCCAGACATGAGTTGTTATTCACTGGCCAGACACTTCCAAATCCAGTCAGTGATGCCCAAGATTGGCCGTCAGTTACGTCAGTTACATAGCTGCTAAGGTGGCGTCTCCTATCAGTGTTAGGGTCCTGAGAGGCTTGGGACGCCTGCTGTAGGTTTCTGCCTTGTGCTTTTGCATGGTCGGCTGTGTCCCTCACCTTCTACGTCAGCACTCTGTACAGCAGGCCAGGTGGACTGTAAGCTCCTGGGACTTCTGTCTCCCTCCCATTTCACCACAGGAATGCTACTGCATCAGCGTCACGTGGGCTCTGAGACCCGAACTCAGGCTCAAGCACAGAAAGCAGTGAGGCTGCAGTGGCCTGAGTCACCCAGGCCCATAGGAGCTTCCCTCTTGCTGTGTGTGTGTTCTCTTGGTGCCGGTTACTCTCTCACTGCTGGGCTGAGGGTGTGGCTCAGTGGTAGAGCTGCTTCCTACCACAGCTAAGGACCTGGATGTCATCTTTAGCACCAACCTGGGTCCTTTCTCAGAGATACTGTATGAATTTCCTTATTTATCCGTGTTTGTCGTGCAGCTGCACGCTAACAGGTGGACTTAGGTGTTTAATTTGCACTTGAGTCCAGCTCTCTGTAAGGGTCTGAGACTCTTCTGTGCCTCGCTGTTGCCCCGCTGCGTCTTGACTGATGGTTCTGAATTTTACACAGGTGATATTCTCGAATTTCATGGTCCAGAAGGAACGGGAAAAACGGAAATGCTTTATCACTTAACAGCCCGGTGCATACTTCCAAAATCAGAGGGCGGACTACAAATAGAGGTCTTATTTATCGATACAGACTACCACTTCGACATGCTTCGCCTCGTGACGGTTCTGGAGCACAGGCTGTCGCGGAGCTCGGAGGAAGCCATCAAGCTCTGCCTGGGAAGGCTCTTCCTGGCCTACTGCAGCAGCAGCATGCAGTTACTGCTCACGCTGCACTCACTGGAGGCGCTCTTCTGTGGCCACCCCTCCCTCTGCCTCCTCATAGTGGATAGCCTGTCGGCTTTCTACTGGACAGACCGCGCCAGTGGAGGAGAAAGCGTGGCCCTGCAGGAATCTACTCTGAAGAAGTGTTCTCAGCTCCTAGAGAGACTCGTCACTCAGTACCGCTTGCTGCTTGTCGCCACAACCCAAAGTCTAATGCAGAAAGCCTCGGACCCGGCACAGGGGCCCTCCAAGCTTCCAGGCGACGGGGCCCTGGACTACAGAGCCTATCTCTGCAAGGCCTGGCAGAAGGCGGTGAAGCACAGAGTCATCTTCTCCAGAGAAGACCAGTCAGAGAGCAGCCGCTTCTTGTTGGTTTCACATCATTTAAAAAGTAACAGTTTAAAAAAACACACTTTTATGATCAGAGAAAGTGGGGTGGAGTTTTGTTGATTTGTCATCAAAAAGGCTTTCGAGAGCTCTGAGGCAAGTCTTTAAAAGTCTTCTATAGGCTAAAGTGGTTTGATTCTGAAGGTTTTGATTCTGGGGAAATTAATACAAACAGTACAGTAAGCTTGAAGCTTCTCTGTCCCTCTAGGCTCTGGAAGGCGTCAGCACGCTGCACCCCACTGTCCTTCTAGGCTCTTGAAGGCGTCCAGCTCGCTGCACCCCACTGTCCCTCTAGGCTCTGGAAGGCATCCAGCACGCTGCACCCCACTGTCCCTCTAGGCTCTGGAAGGTGTCAGCACGCTGCACCCCACTGAGCTTGTTTTGGAACTCAGTAAATGATACATGTTTCAGACTAAGTCATGTTTTGAGTGTTTAGGAAGGGTTTACTGCTGATCCTGGCCTCCTTGAAGAGCTGTGGCTGGAGAGGGTGGGCAGAGCTGTTACTTCAAAGAAATGAGCACAGGGGTCACCTGCTCAGCTGCCTCTGTCTGGAAGCTGGAGTAGGCTGGGTGTGGTGTACTCACTCACCTTGAATTCCCAGCACTGGAAAAACGAGACAGGTGGATCTGTGAGTTCAAGTCCTGCCAGGTCTATATAGTGAGTTCCAGGACAGCCAGGGCTACATAATGTCTCAAAAAGCCAACCAGTAAACAGACAGACAGATAGATGAAGCTGGACTGTCTGAGCCCTCCTCCTCCTCCTCCCCCTCCCCGCCACCCCTCTGAGGGTGTCACAATGTTTCCTTTATAATTCAGGCTGGCTTTCATCCACAGTTCTGCCTCAGCTTCTGCAGTAACCAGGACATCTAGCACACAGTGCTGCACTGCACCTCAGAGCCAGAGAATTCTGATCTGAGTTACACTTGAATTCAAGATGGCTTTCCATTTGCTTGGTTCTGTGTGATTTTTCAAACCTGGAGAAACGATGTACTCATGTAAGAACTCTGAGATTTATTATGGAATGTTCATCTCATTAAATGGTGGATTCTGAAACTGTTAAAATTGTGTATCACTAGTGTTTTCTTCCCTATCTGGAGCAGGCCACTGCGATCAGACAGGGTGCTGCAAGGAGTTGTTCTAGTTCAGACTGCTAGGCTGTGATGAAACACCGTGACCTGAAGAAGGCTGGGGAGTAGTCCGTCCTTGAAGGAAGTCAGGACAGGAACTCATGAAGCAGGAGTCAATACAGAGAGAGGCCATGGAGAGGGGCTGTTTACTCTTGCTCCTCATGGCTTGTTCTATCTGTTTTCTTATAGAACCCAGGACCACCAGCCCAGGGGTGCCCCACCCACAATGGGCCGGGCCCTCCCGCATCAATCACTAATTAAGAAAATGTCCTACAGGCTTGCCAATGGCCGGATCTTTTGGAGGCTCCCTCATCCCTGATGACCCTAACTAGGCAGCACTGAAGTGTAGGAAGAAGGCTTTGGAAGCATCTCTTAGGTGTCTTCACTCAGGCTGGCTGTTCTTCTCAAACCTGTTTATACCACATGTCACATTTGAAGCTTCCCAGTGGTGATGTAGCTGTGTTCTTGTGTTCATTTATGTTTCCAGAGGTTTACGAGTTAAAATGCATCCTAGAGAAGCTGAGACTGAATTTCTTGATGATGAAGGCACAGTGATATGCCTTGCTGGCTGTGCCCGCCCGGTGCCTGTGGGCAGCATCCTTCCCTCCCTGTGTGTCCTCAGTTGACTCTGCTGAGCCTGGTAGGATTGCTCCCTCACCAAGCAGGAAACTTCCTTTTTGACCCAGGGTCTCACTGTGTAGCTCTAGCTGGCCTGGAACTACATAGACCAGGCTGGCCTCCTAAGTACTGGTATTAAAGGTGTGTACCACTGCGCCTTCCTGGCCCACTAATATAATTTTAAAAATACAATTGTATAATTTCCACTTTCTCTTTCTTTCCACCAAACCCTCCCGTGTGCACCGCCCTTCTTGCTCTCCCAGTTTCCTTCATGGCTTCTGGCCTCTTTTAAAGTTGTCCTACACACACACATACACACACACTCCTAAGTATACAACCCCCTTGGGTCTTTTCAATGTTGTATGAGTGTTTTTAGGACTGACTACTTGGTATTGGACAGCCAATGGGAGTGCTCTTTCCTGGGAAGGGCTGTTGCTTCTGCTCTCGGCATTCTTTGGTTGCCCATAGTTTTTTCTCTCCGGGGGTCGGGACCATGAGATTCCTCCCTTCGTATTAGCATGCTTATTGGTGGTGTCAGTGTTGAGGTTTTGTTTCGGCAGACCTGCCGTTGAGCCTCACAGCAGACGTCCTGGTCCTCTGACTCTTACAGTCTTTCCACCCCCTCTTCTGAGATGACCCCGAGCCGTAGTTGCAGGGTTATGTTACAGACGATGATGTTGGGGCAGGACATCGTGATGGCTCCTTCTCTTCATTCTGATTCTTGTGGTTTTCTGTAATGGTCTGTGTTACAAAGAGAAGTTTCTTTGCTGAGGGTCGAGAGCTATACTTTCTGTATTTACAATACAGGTACGAATTATGCTGGTTTAATAAAGTGGTGGCTTATTAATATAGTTTTAAACATTTGTGTATTTGATTTTTCTGTTTTTCCTTTTTTTAATTAAAAAAAAATTCTTGTGTGTGCAGGCAAGGGTGTGGAGTTCAGAGGACAACTCTCAGGGATTGGGTCTCTCCTGCCACCTTGTAGGATCCAGAGATCAAACTCAGGTTATCAGACCTACACATAAACACCTCTACCTAAAACCACCTCACAGGCATTTTCTGAATATTTTTATTACATGCAATGCATGTTACACAGAAGTAGTTGGTTAATATCTCAGGTAGCCTTTAGTTATAGTTTTTAGTTCACTAACAGAAAATAATGGTAACTTGCTGTGAAATAGAGGATAATTTCCTAGAGCTATTTAAAGGTATGTATTAAAATCCTACAGTAAATATTATTTAAGAGAGAAATGTTGAACATGTGCCTTTAAAATTGCCTCAACTTATCAGGCATATTGTCACACGCCTTTACTCCTAGCACTTGAGAGGCAGAGGCAGGTGGGTCTCTGTGAGTTTGAGGCTAGCCTGGCCTACATAGTGAGTTTCAGGACAGCCAGGGCTTTGTAGAGAAACCCTGTCTCAAAACAACAAAAACAAATGAAATTCACTCAAATTGATACTGTACCTGAAGGCCAAATTAATCTCCAGAGTAGGAAACAAGAGTTTTATTGATTTTTTTAAATATATATTTTTATTTTTAAATTAAGTATATATGTGGGGGTGGTATGTACCCATGTAAATGCAGAAGAATTTGCTGGATCCCCTGGCACTGAACTTACCCGCAGTTGTGATCCACCTGATGTGGCTGTTGCCAGCTAAACTCAAGTCCTTGACAAAATCAGTATGCACTTACCTCAGAGCCATCTCTCGCGTGGCTGCGACTGCTCCAGGCTTGCTTAGAACTTACAGTCTCCCTGCGGCTGCCTCCTGAGTACTGGGATTACAGGTGTGCACCACCGTGCCCACTGGAAGGCGGGGCTTTAGTGTGCTAGATACTTCCCATCAACTGCTGGCTCCTTGGCAGTAGTGTGGCGTTGACCCCAGTGCTCTGTGCAGTGTGGACCTGTACGGTTTCCACCTTGTCGAGGGTAGCCACAATGACAACAACGTGCCGCATGCCAAACATCCAGTCCTGTTGGGAAAATGCGGAGTGCAAGACCACACAAGGAGGTCCTGGTACCTGGACTGGTATGGTACGGGCTCAATAATTTAGAATACTTCCAGTACCCTGCTGCATCTAGAACTCCCTGTCAGCAGTATGCTTCTGCATATAATGGGGACAGCTCCTCAACTGATTCAGCTAAGAGAAGAGACAAATTCTAATATGGAAGATGATAAAAGCCATATGGAGGGAGCAATAGAAAAGAGAGGGATGAGAAGGCGGGGGGGGGGGGACTACAGTGAGGATGATGGGAATATGAACAGAACACATACACATGAACGGAAACTGTTACCAACCATGTAGCTCGAGTCTTGGAACCCTAGCTAGGCAAAGGAATGAAGATAGGACAGACAGACACAGGGAAGCTGGAGTCTGGTAGGAGTCTGCTTCTACCGCAAACCCAGCATTCTTACTCATTAACAGGGCTTGGTAGCCATCTTTGTAGGAGACCTTTGCAGGTAAGTTAGTCCTTGCACACACTGGACAATCAACTATAACCATTCCTGAGGAAAACTTGGCCACTTCTCCTAAGCCCGGTCCATAAGGACAATGGCTTTGCCAATTTCCCATGGGCCTAAGGCCTTGGGGTCCTCAACACAGCCATGCCATGTCAATAGTGCTCATTCACTAAAGAGTTAATTCGCTCAGCTTCCTCCACTCCCTACAGGAAATGTCATTAATTGTGTTGAGTTGAGCTGGAGAGATGGCTCAGCAGTTAAGAGCACTGGGTATGCTTCCAAAAGACCCAGGCCCGATTCCCAACACCCAAATGGCAGCTCACAACTGTAACTCCAGTTCCAGGGTAGCTGACACCCTCACGCAAACATACATGAAGGTAAAACACCAATGCTCATAAAATAAAATTTAATTTTTTAAAAGATTTAATAAGCCAGGCACTGTGGATGCAGAGGCAGGCAGTTCTCTGAGTTTGAGGCCAGCCTAGTCTTAAACTTACAATTTGAAAATAATGCTTCCAATATCCTATTGCACCTAAAACAGATCTTAGAACAGAGCTGAGTCCTGGGGTTACATAGGGAAACCCTGTCTCGAAAAGCAAAACAAAACAAAAAAAAGTTTTTATAAAAAATATATATATAATTAATACACACTAATAAAAACTTTCAGAGAGGCATGAAGAAGGGACAAAATGATCATTATTAGGCTGAGAGGCTAAGCTCAAAGGTAGAATTGTTTAGTGTGTGTGAGGTGGCTTCAACCTCACCTCTGAAGAAAGAAGTTATTACTTAAAGATTGTATGATTGTGTGCGTGGAAACCCAAAATCATCTGCACAGAGATGGTTAGGACTGCAAGTTTAACAAATTTACCAGCTGAAAGTGGTAAGTGTTTCTGAATCATGAGGCTAGAGAGAGACCGGTGGCTGAGAGCAGTAGCTGCTCTTGCAGATGCGCCCACATGGGGCTCACAGCCATCTGTGGGCACCAGGCATTCATGGGCACATACATACATGCAAGCAAATACTCATGTCGTACAAATTCTAATTGTTCTTAATAAAAACCTGGAGTCAGATATTAGGGGTGAAAGCTGAGAGATCAGGGAAGCGGTGCAGCCCCCCCACTAGAGAGACCTTTTACCTCTACCGAATCCTCAGACCAAAGGGGCGATCCTGACCTCAGACTGCGTCCTCTGAATGACTGCTTCAGACTGCATCCCCAGACTGCAACTGCCTCCACCAGACCTCAGACTGGACTGAGCTCCCGTCTCCTCCTACCTTATATTCCTCTCTCCATCCAGCCACACGCCTTCCTGTCTCCACCTCCCTAGTGCTGGGGTTAAAGGTGTGGGCCACCACTAGTGGCTTAGCTCTGCACACTGATCTTCTCTTTATTTGTTAAAAACAAAATATCACTACACTCATACATTAGTAAAATCTTTTCAAAATATAAAGATAAAATTTAATGTCACCAGTAATTAAAAATGAAAATTAAGAGCTTGGAAGACAAAAGCACTTGTTACCAGCCTGAGTTCTATCCCCAGGACCCACGTGGTAGAAGGAAAGAAGTGATTTCTGCAAGTTGTTCTCTGACCTTTATTTATTCATGGTGGCATCCTCACCGCCCCCCAACACACACTGAAGAAATGAAATAAAAAAATTTAAGTATGTATCAAGAACTCAATAAGATGCCACCATGTGTACTACTGATAACAGGAAGAAAGGCCCCAATTGATGGGTGGTGGGATGCAGAGCTATGCTTGTTTCAAGCCCATGGGAAACAGAAGTTAAACCCGTGGACCTTTAGCTGGATGTCCTTAAATCCTGCTGTGCCCAGCACTCGGGAGGCAGAGGCAGGCAGATCTCTGTGAGTTCAAGGCCAGCCTGGTCTACAAGAGCTAGTTCCAGGACAGGCTCCAAAGCGACAGAGAAACCCTGTCTCGACACCCCCCCCCCTCAAAAAAAGAAAGAAGGAAATCCTGCTGTGCATAGAGAAGACAGCAATATGCTGATGAGCGTTGTTTATAACTGCAAGAGACAAATGAACCAAAACCACAGCAGAACGAGAGACATACAGGGTGTTCATAGAGTGAGGTCCAATGGCAGGTTGTTCAAACACTCAGAAATCTCAAGGTTTTTATTGGGTATTGTAGAAGAATGCATTTGGTATAATGTATCCCTGACTGGCCTGGAACTCACAGAGACCCATCTACCTCTGCCTCTTGAGTGCTGAGTGTGTCACTGCACACCTTGATGTTAACCAACAGCTTTCTGATTGAATTAGGACCCACTCAACAAGAGGGAACTATGCCTAGAAATCTAGCAAATGTCCCAGGTTCGTGAAGTCATGGATCTTGGAGAGGAACCTGCAACCTCCACTGTAGTAAAATCGCATAATTCCTAACTGTATTTTAGATTTTTGTCCTTACACCCTCAGAGAAGTGCAGTTCTTACCCTCATCAAGGAAACTTCTCTGTAACAGAGACAGACCATTACAGCAAACCACAGCCAATCAAAATGCTGAGTTGTGGAGCCCAGTCCCAACAGATAATTTGCATAACGACTCCCACACCTAAGGCTCACGGGTCATTCAGAAGAGTAGGCTAAAAGAGGTAAGTGGATCTCTGTGAGTTCGAGGCCAGCCTAGTCTACAAGAGCTAGTTTCAGGACAGCCTCTAAAGCTGAAAAAGACCGAGAAACCCTGTCTTGAAAAACAAATGGGTGGGATGGGTTGGGATAAGGGGGGACGGGGAGAGAAAAGTGAGAAGGGGAGGATTGGGGGAACTTGGGGAAACAGGAAGACTGGGATAAAGGAAGGTTGGATAGGGGAGCAGGGAAGCACATATCTTAGTAAAGGGAGCCACCTTAGTGTTGGCAAGAGACTTGAACCTAGAGTGGCTCCCAGGAGCCCAAGGCGAGGTCCCCAGTTAGTCCCTTGGGAAGCTGAGGATAGGGAACCTGAAATGACCCTATCCTATAGCAATACTGACGAATATCTTTCATATCACCATAGAACCTTCATCTGGTGATGGATGGAGTTAGAGACAGAGACCCACACTGGAGCACTGGACTGAGCTCCCAAGGTCCCAATGAGGAGCAGATGGAGGGAGAACACGAGCAAGGATGTCAGGATCATGGGGGGTGCACCCACCCACTGAGACAGTGGGGCTGATCTATTGGGAGCTCACCAAGGCCAGCTGGACTGTGACTGAAAAAGCATGGGATAATACCGGACTCTCTGATCATGGCGAACAATTAGGACTGATGAGAAGCCAAGGTCAATGGCAAGGGGTTTTGATCCTACTTCATGTTCCGGCTTGGTGGGAGCCTAGCCAGTTTGGAT